ATTAACTACAGGATTAGCAAAAGTAAATGTGATGCCCCTGTGAACCTGGAAGATCTTGGTAAGACTTCAGAAAATTAGTTTCTTGAGAAAGCTTGTGTGTAGGACTTCCCTGCATGACACTGGGGGCTGCCATCACTAGCGTTGCCCAGCAAGGCACCACTGTATTTTTGACAGGGACCTTTCAGGATGCAAAATGTTGTCATATCTTTAGGTTACTTCCTAAATTGCAGCAAGAAGAGTTGAGTTTAGTACAGGGAAGACTTTGTGGTGCTGAGTTGTAGGAAAAGTCCAGTGTGCTGGAGGCTGCAGTGTCCTTGGGCAGAGAGACATACTGCAGACTGTGCTGGGGTTGCTTGGAAGCACAGTTGCTGCTCTGACTACAGTCTGAACAAATGAAGTACCCTGTACTTGGGCCTTATGGTTCCCTGTGTTTTGAATTTCACTAATAATAGAACCATTCTGGCTGCACAGGTGTTTCTGCAGCTTTTGCAGTCAAGCTGTTCAAATCATGGATAAATGAGAAAGATATCAATGCAGTGGCTGTCAGTCTTCGCAAGGTAAACATGGACAACAGGCTCATGGTGAGTACTACTGGAACTACTCTGCTGTTCCATAAGCCAGTTTTGTGAACAGCATTTCCCAGCAAAGCACCCAACACACATTTCTTTTACAAAAGAGTTGTAAACTTTGTTTTCAGGAACTCTTCCCAGCCAACAAACAAAGTGTTGAACACTTCTCCAAGTACTTCACTGAAGCAGGACTAAAGGAACTCTCTGAGTATGTTCGGAACCAGCAATCCATAGGAGCTCGGAAGGAGCTGCAGAAGGAGCTGCAGGAGCAGATGTCACGGGGAGATCCATTCAAGGATGTAGGTGTTTCTAGACAAGGTGGAGGTGCTTTCTGTGCCTGTCTCTCTTTCATACTGAACTTAGCTCTCACTGGGAGCTAAAATGAGGAACTGGGGGGGAGGGGGGGGGGTTGATATGAGCTTTACGGTCTTTCCTTAATGTCCATAATTGTGCTTTATGATCAAGAAGGTTGGTTGTCATTCTGAAACCTTCTGGGCTACCTTTAGAATAGAAGTTTTCATTTAGCCTTGTGCCATATGTGGCCTTTCTGCTTACTCTTACTCTCCTGGCAGATCATCTTGTACGTGAAGGAGGAGATGAAGAAAAACAACATCTCAGAACAGACTGTGGTAACCATAATCTGGTCAAGTGTAATGAGCACAGTGGAGTGGAACAAAAAGGAGGAGCTGGTAGCAGAGCAAGCCATTAAGCATTTGAAGGTATTGTAACTTTAATACAGACTTCTGCACCGCTTAGGCAGAGCCTGGTTTTCCTTCTGTCTGCAGCTCCATTTTAAATGTTAAAGCTACAACTCTGCTAGTACAGAGAGAGAATAAGATGGGGAATTCTGCTCCTTGTGAGGAGTATTACAGGCCAAGGGCCTGAGGCAGAGGCAGTGACTGCTGCAGAGCTGCTCTGGGGTGGGGCTGTGGTTGCAAATTTCTAAGCAGTGGCTGATGGAAACTGGAAAACCAGCTTTAGTCAGGTGATAAATAAGAAGTGCTCTGTGTGTGCCAATCTCTTGTTCTTGTTACAGCAATACAGCCCTCTACTTGCTGCCTTCACCACCCAAGGTCAGTCAGAGCTGACTCTTCTGTTGAAGATTCAGGAGTATTGTTATGACAACATTCACTTCATGAAGGCCTTCCAGAAAATAGTGGTGCTCTTCTACAAAGGTAACTTGTAGTTACCAGGTTGTAGTTTTGGGGGTTTGTGGAGGAGCTGGTTTTGGTTGGTTGGGTTTTTTAAAGGTTCTGAAACAGGGCAGATCAGTGCTACAACATTGCACTTCCTAAGCTAAAGAATTTTCTACCTCCTGTTTCTAAAAATGCAAAGGTGCATGTGGCTGGCTCTTTGCACATGGGAAAGTGCAAGACAAAGATGGTGCCTGTCTACAGTAGATTGGCTTAAGAGTTGCAGAACAAAGCTAAATTCAGATTTTTAAGGCATTTTGTGAAGTTCCGTGATAATTTATTGTTCTTAGTTCTCTTAACATGGACTGTGAGCAGCTGAAGAGTGAAACCACCAATGTGTTCCAGACTGCTCTAGGTTCTTTTTAAATGTTTGATGAAAGGTGGCACTAAAACCCACGCTGTGCACCTATGGAAACTTGTTAAACTGAAGACTGTGCTGTACTTGTGAAATTTAAAAACCACCTGCACCACAGGAAGTGTTTACTTTGGACTTCAACAGAACTTGAATCTGTTCCTAGCTGTTCACTGAACCTTTGCTTAGTGTGCCTCTCAAATAACTCTAAAACACTCCAGACTGTTAGTAGGAGTGAAAGTGCAGCTCCTGGATACAGTACTGAGGAAACTCGCAGCATGAGGAACCATCCAAAATGTTTGGTTCTCCAAATTTCAAAACTGAAGGCACTCCTAGTGCAGGTCTGTCCAGCTGTACCCAGAGGAGGAGTACACGGTGCTCCCAGGGGAGGAAGCAAAGGCTGCCAGTCAGGCTCTCAGCAGTTCACTGTGTTAACACTGCTCTTGCCCATCTTTGCAGCTGAAGTTCTGAGTGAAGAACCCATTCTCAAGTGGTATAAAGATGCCCATCTTGCAAAAGGAAAGAGTGTTTTTCTGGAGCAGATGAAGAAGTTTGTTGAATGGCTCAAGAATGCTGAAGAAGGTAAGCAGCAGCTTAGCTCATATGTGGATCTTATTCATTTTGGGAACCCTAATGCAAATAATGCTGTGTTTTGGAGTGGGGGATGTTAATTGCCCCTCTGAGACTAGTGTGGATCCAGCAGCAGCTGTTGTGCAGGATGCAGGGCAGCAGCTGAGCTCAGGGCTGGGGGGAGCCATGGGCAGGCTGCTGATGAGGTCTCTCTGTTGCAGAGTCGGAGTCTGAAGCTGAAGAGGGTGACTGACCTGTGAAACTCTGGCCTCAGTAAAGCAAACAGGAGCTGTAGATAAGTGTCATGTCTCATGTGTCCTTCTGATTCTTACATCCTACCTCCCTGTATCAAGCATGATATAAGGGCTCTCATGGCAATTTATTTTAACTGTTTTCTATAGTTAATGAAATACTGGATTTAGTTTTTAAAACCATGTTCAAGTAGCTTACAGGAGCTGTTAGATTTGACGCTTAACCTGCATTTGTCCTTTCAGTTACCTTCTACCTCCTGTATTTTCTACTGTAATAATGTAATATAAGGCCTTCCATGGTGAAATCCAGTTCATCTGTTGGGATTTCTGTCTGTATTGGAGTAGGTGTGATATGGTGAACGAGACTTAGGGCAGTCTGCTTGCAAATTAAACTATAAAAAGCCTCCCAAGTGAAGAGGCCATTGCCTGTGTGGCACTGCAGTCTGTACCACCAAATATCCCATCATAGGTGGCTGTCCATGTCCCCAAGTACTTTGTCATCTCTTTACCAGACTTCCAGCATAAAGCAATCCTCTATTCCAGCTCTGGGGAAGGTGGGAGCCCCACTGCTAGAGAGAAGTTGTTGTGGTGCCAGGAACTGGTTACCATGGTGGGGCATGAGAGTGACATCTCTGAGCCTGCTGGCTGTCACAGCTGGTGGCCCATGCTCCTGAGGGACTGTCAGGTGCCCTTGCAGCTCTGGGGATGCCTTCCTTTTCCCTTTCCCTCATGGAAGCACAAGCAGTGCTGTTCCACACAGAGCTGCCCAGCAGCTTTCTTGAGCCAGGCACTGCTGCCCGCAGGGCTGGGGCAGGGGCAGCAGCTGCTTTGTGCTGCTCTGTAAATGCACAGCTGCTGCAACCTAAGGCAGCCCAAACACCACCCTCCCCCTTTGAGGTTTAGAGATTCTTTTATGCTGGCAGCTCACATGCTAAACCAACTTATCTGCTCCCTGAAACTTTAATTCCTAATGGAAATTCTCAGGACAGTTCAATTCAGAAAGATTGGGGGAAAAAAGGTGACGTCTATCCTGTTATAAGCTTACAGTGAGCATTAACTGAAATACTGGTAACCAGAGTACACCTACTAAAATAAATGAAAAAATTGGTCATCACAATGCAATCTGTTCAATACTACAGTGATCTTCCTTACTTTGTAACTTTTTTTTTAAGCAAATAAAGGCCATCCTTACACTTAATGCCAAGGGCTGTCTCTGCTCTTTATCTGAAAAGAAAGCACCACTGATACTATAGGGTACAAAGCAATGCACAGTCTTTTGCCTAAATTCAAGGACTGTTGAATAAAGTGAAGTTAAAACACTGCTTTGTTGCTGTTAGGGAGCTCTTTTCCATGTTGAAAGTTCTAACATCCCCTGAGTTTGAAAACCAGGTTCAGCTGTATATTAAGTTTTATATCAATATTTGGTAAGTATCCAAGAAATCATACTAAAAGGTAAGGCAGTTACAATATTACCAAATTAGAAATCAGTGCTGTTTTAAGTTTCTTTGGTCCCTGTGACTCAGCCTGCTTAGCTGCAGGAGCCTGTGCCCTTTCTGCTTTTCAATGGAGAGAAGAAAGAAAAGTGCTGCATGATAAGGGCAGTGCTTGTTTGGGACAAAATCCAGCATCTTCTGAACCACGTCAAAAAGGTTCCTGTGGTCAGAATCCTGCCATGTCATGAACTCCTTCATGGAAATAAACAACAAAACATTCTTTTATCTTTAAACAGTTGTTTAAAGCTTCTGTCCTCAAGAACATTTTCCCTGCTGCACCTTACCTTCAGTGGTGTACAGAGGGTTGATAAGTATCTGCCACCAGGATTTTGTTCATGCCACCAGGATCTTGTTCATCCAAATCCAGCTGTCCTTGACAGAAAAATTTTCCATTTCCTTAGACAAACAGGCTGTATTTGTTACTCAAATAGTCTGTTTTGGCCCTTCAGTAGAAGTTTACCAACATGTGAGTTTGCAGCTTGGGAACTGAACTGCGAATAGTCCACCAGAGCAGCCAGCTTGTCAAAGAGATGGCTCATGGCTGCGTCTTAATCTGAAAATATTTAAAATAAAACTATAGCAGTCCAGTACATAAAAATATAATAACCTGCTTTTCTTATCATGTGATATGGCAAAGACCCCAATTCCTTGCCATGCCTCTGAAGGGAAATCCAGAGAGACATTTTTGTTCATTGTTAGACAAAGTTATCAACAACTATTTTTCACTGTACCCTGCAACCAATAATCAGTTTCAGATTAAGGAAAAAAAAAGGCAGTACTGATCTGTTTCCTAAAGTAAGGTGGAGTGTATTAGGTTTTATCCCTTGAGGTTTTTCCCCCTTGACCCTATTTTTTTTTTACTTTGTTGATTAATCTCAAGTTTCAGCAGTACTGCCAAGATGACAAAGTTGAGGTATTTGAATTTGTTGATGGTGACAGATGAAGCTACATCTGTTACTAGCATGGCTTGTAAATTACAAATGTTAAGAAGGTGATCCTTCATACCAAGCTGCTGCCAAAATGTTGACTGAAAGCAACGTGTAGAAATGTTCTGTTCATACCGTTCCCTTGTGCCCACATCTCTCCTCAGTTTGGCACCATGGAAGAAGGCAGCTGAAGTTCTTGCATAAATCATTCCCCTCACTCCCTGCCTGTCCAGCATATTTTCACCCACCTGAGCAGAATTACAGATGCTGCATCATTCTAAGGTTCACAGTAGCTTAGAGGAAATAGTGCTGCTCCAAGGTCCATGAGAATAGACTCCACTCCCAACGTGTCATGGTTGTGACTGTGCCAGTGCTGTGAAAGGATTCACAAGGTTCTTGTTTGATACCAGACTCCAAACCAGCCCAAGAGCTCAAGAAAGAGAGCGCTGTGCTGCTGGAGCACAGTTCAGCAGTGTGTGACACCCCTCAAATGAGAGCTCAGCCTAACAGGCTAACTGCAGGGGCTCTGCACTGGCCTGTGGGCACCAAAGTGTCTGATCCTCAAATACTGCACACCCAATGCCCATAACTTTCATCTCTGAAGGCAAAGGTGCTGAGCCCCTGGACCTCAAAAACAATTCAAACATGTCCATGGTACTCTGGACACAGTGACTACAAAAGCAGGATGTGACATGACTTGCAACAGTTCTAATAAAGCTGAGCCACACACATCCCATAGCACAGAAAGCAACATGACAAAAATCCCAACGCCAAACCAAAGTACAGGTGGCTTTGTAAAGTCACCGAGTACTGCCAGGATCCAGTGCCTTTACATATTCCAGTACTTGGACTTCATAAGCTGCTTCAGAGCAGCTGCCATAGTTTTTGATTATTGTCACAGCTATGTATTTGCCTCTTCTGAAAAGATGGGATTGAACAGTGATTAGATGAACAACTACTTCCAGTGAAGAATATTCAGATATACATGGTTTATAGCAATGGCAACCTTTTCTAAAAGTGGTTTTTTAGTACTTGCTGACAATATAATCAAGGTTCATCTATGCATAAAAAGACTTAAAATTTCATGTATCAATTCCAAAAACATACATTATACCTTATTATTGTTCCTAGAAATAAAAAGCCCCACCTACCACCCCGTGGTATTTATGTATGCTATTGAAAATGCAAATCAAACCAAAATAGACTTAAGAATTACCACTGAAGCTATTCCAGACTATTCTTGTTTAAACTGTAAATATCTACTTGGACAACTGTTACTAGACAATTCTCATCAAGACACATTTACAGTGAAAAAAGGAAAATAAAACACAAGTTCTACATAATAACAATCCCCACCCTCAAAGAAAAAAGAAAAATAGAAGTCTTCTAAAAGCTCCCTCAGATCATTAAAAGCACTTACTGTATTGGTTTTGTGTGGCCAAGAGGACTTCGAGGGTGGGTTTCTGAGAGATGCTGCCAGAAGTTTCCTGTGTCTGACAGAGCCAGTGCCAGCTCGCTCCAGGACACAGCCAGCTGCAGGACAGCTGTGCCAGTGGCCAAGGCTTGGCCAAGTAGGGACGGTGCTAACACCTCTGTGGTAACATATTTAAGAAGGAAAAAAAGTTACAGAAGAGATGTAATTGCACTCAGAGAATGGTGAGAATATGAGGAACAGAACAAAAGAACAGCCAAGGTCAGTAGAGAAGGAAGGGCAGGAACAGCACCAAGACTGTGCAGCCAGTCAATAAACTCAAGTGAATTCAGGTCAGAAAAACAATTAATTCATCAGGGAGATACTCAGGCATTCAGCTACACACCAGACCACAAAGAGCAGGAGCAATTTCAAATTCAGCCCCTGGAAATCCACATAGTTTGTGTTACAGGAGAAAAACATGGCAAGGAACAGACTTTAGGTGAGATACTCAAAGTAGGAAAGCAACAAAAAATCACCATTATTTTTCTTTTAAAAGATTGGTTCACTGAATTTTACGTTATGATTTCGGAACCCCTATACTTTTTTCTTAAAGCAAAGGGATTTAATAATTATATTTTATATATATATACACACATGTATTTTTAAACAGCTTTGTGTCCAAATTAAAACAGCCATCTTAGGCAGTCAAGATTAAATAACTTGTATGAATTTTTGGCAAGAAGCTATTTTTTTTTAATCACAAAAGATACACATTTGCTTTATGCTGTCTTGGCTTAAGATCTTAATTTAACTTACAACTCCAATCTTCAGTTTTTTTAATAGTGAACAAAAATCAGAAAATGCACCCTGGTAGTGGGATGCCATCATCCATATTTAATTCTACAAATTTCTCACTGATACTTGAAAAAGTCAGTCTGGCATGACCCCCTTGCTATTTCAGTGACACTTAATCAAAATGTAGTTTAAAAGCTTGTCCATGGATTTTAGAGTATGGGTTAAGCAAATCCTTGTTGTAATATAAATTCTGAAGGCATGAAAGTGATGCCTGTATTTCAAGTACTCCAGTCAATGGTTATTGTTCATTAATCTGCTCAAATATATTCAGTGAACAAATAGCAGGACCATGTTCTGTGGCATCACAAGCATATGTACAAACTACATTTTCACAGAAGGAAATGCAATCCTAACAAAAAAACAGTCAGCTACTAATATGAGCCAAAGCAATAAACTTCTGTTATCCACAGAATTCCCCAGACCTGTCACTCAGTTATTACTGACGGATGAGAACCTACCTAAAACTAAATTAAAATGGGCCCTATCACCTGTAGAGGTTTAGGATGACATGTACTATAAAGTGTCTTGTATTTCCTTTTGCCACCAGCTGTCACATTAGACCAGATCCCTGGCTACTAGGATGCCCAGTGTCACATTATTCCTTGGATTTGTGACTGCAGACTTCAAAACTGTGTCATTGACAACGGCCTCTTTCATTCACAGAATTGGTTTCTGAATCATTACTATAAAAAAAAATCCAGTAAATGTAACTAAAATCATTCTAGTGTCCCTATGAAGGCAGCTTTTTGTTTTAAGTTAAAGACATCTTTCTTGAAATACCTTCAACTCAAAAATTAATCTGGTATCACCTGACCTGATCAGAGTAATAAAATCTTAAAACATGCCTGCTGATATCAGAAGTCCAGAAGTTTTTTACCTGCCAGGAGTTTTAGAAAGATGGTTGCAGCACTTTTTCTCCTGCGCACTTCTGAATGGTGTCCCTTTTCCATTCTCAGCATTATTGCACCTTCTGCAAAGTAGTCTTTTTCTTTTATCCCTGTCAGGACCATTAGTTTGACTGAATTCCCTGGTAATTCATTAATTACCAAACTGAAACTATAATGATTGTGTTTTCCCTCAATATCCCAGTTTCTGGCTTTTTTTCTCTGCTCCTTTTTCCAATTTATTTTTTCATTCAAGAGCTTTGTTCAGGTTAATTATTTTTGACAGGAACTTAAACCTGTAACCTTCTTCTTAAAAAAAGGCTTTTAAAGACATAGTGTGGGGCTCCTGCCAAGCTACTCAGGCCCCCAGTGCTGCATTATCCTAGGAAGAAGAAAGGCTTCTGTGTGCTTAACAAGGGCAAATATTTCTCAGGGGGCTTTTCAAGATTTCAGTGAAGTTTTTCTACGGGAGACAATAAAACTCGGGTTATCTCGCAGTTAGGCTGCCCCATGAGGAAAAGTGAACTCACTACCCACCCTTTTCAGCCCCAAGCCGACTGCAGCGCCTCAGGCCGGAGGGCGGCGGCCGCTGCCGGCGCCGGGACGCCCCGGGCGGGCGGAGCGATGGGGGATCCCCGGGGACACCGAATCCCTGCCCCGGCGAAAGTCTCCGTCCTCGGCCCGAGCAGGCGCTCCGGGAAAGGCTCCGGCCCCGCCACAGCGGCCGAGGCCATTTTCTGCCCGGCCGCGAAGGCGCAGCAGACAACATGGCGGCCTGAGGGGGACGGGCGGTGGTGGTGGGGGCGGCAGGGGACTCCCAATTGCGAAATAGTAATTTCTTATCCTGCTGCGGGGCTGTCATTGTCTGTACTGCCCTGGACATGGTTCCTGGTCCTCTGGAATCGGCTCACCATATCGACAAGGGTGTTACTGTTCAAGGATCATGCACCATTATTTTTGCCCGCTGCTCTCCAGCTTAGACCAAGTCCAGGAAAACCGACAGAATACAATTTTGAAACGTTTGTTTGTAATTTTGTCCCAATAGGATCACTCTCTTTTCAATACACATTAGATTAAAAAAAAAAACAAAACCAAACAACCCACCCCAAAAATGTATCTACATTTAATGTGTGTCCTCCAGAGAGCAAAATACTTGGTGCTGCTGCACTTTTTATGGAACAGCCTTCTTTTTAAGGAGGGAAAAAAAATCCCCTGAAATTGTTTCCAGTTCAGTACAATTTTAATTATTAATCATTTACAGTTGTTTTGCACTGTAGGAAACTTCCCAGTATGTCCTTCCTCCTGCATGGCAGTAGTGCCAGTCAAGTGTGCCATTACACGCCTCTGTTTACTTGCTACTGCTGCTGGTTTTAAGGAAGAGAGGAGCACAGAGCTAAAAGAATAAAATCCTTTACCTGACTGAAGTATTACACTAAAAGATATTAAGCCTGGAACAAGGGCTGGGAGCTTAAAGCAACATTCCATGAAGAATATAGAAACTTTGTCCCCTTGAGCAGGTATTGATTAACTCTTCTCATTACCTCAGTAATCTGTACCTGGCACAGTCTGCCTTTCTCTTGCAAATGAGTTATTATTTTAAGAAGCCAAGTCTCAAAATAGAAAATAATGGTCTGAAGCTGACTGCAAGTCAGCTGGACCTTGAGCCTCCCTTGAATTACAAAGCGTATATAATATAAGAATGGGCTTTGCTAAGGGATGCTCACCGAGTAGAAACAGGATTGGGGGAAGAAGCCCAAAAGGGCTCTTATTTGTTCAACACCACGTGACCACCACCATGAGCCTTTTTGACAGTGCTCTTTGTTTTGTTTACCCCCTAGTCTTTGTGTGAAAAAGTGATGAAAAACAAGCTACAGTAAATCCATGTTACCTAGTTTCAATCAACAAGTATGTAAGGACAGAAATACTTACTCTTTCATAGCAATAGTGTTGTGCCAGAAGCAGAAGAAATTACTCCCATCTATCTTTTGGGCAAGGTAAAGACATTATCATTCCAACACAGCAGCATGAGAGCAAACACTCCTCTAAACATGTTCTTTAATCTTCTTGGAGGGAAAGGTTTCATCTGTTTATGACACTGCTCTCACCTGGGGGAAAAAATTGCATATCTTACTTCACTCTTTTGAGAAAACTAAATAAGGAAGATAACACTTTATGAGAAAGTTTCACAAAACTAGTAGCATGAAATTATAGCAAAGGATATTGCTTTAACATAACATCACTCAGAAAGATAACACAAAAACCAAAGATTAGGAAAAAAAATAAAGTTTTATTTTACAAGTATAAAAAACAATGCTTAAAAATCAAAATCCTAGAAGATACTCTGGAAAACCTGGCTTCTGAAGCAGAAGACTTCTCTGTGACAACTCCCAAACAATGTTAAAGCTCCTGAAAATTCTGCATTCAATAAACAAAGATATGATCCAGCTGAAGTAACCCTTTTTGATGGCTCTTTAAACCCTATAATCTGGGAATTATCTGACCAGTCTCTGAAAGAATGTGTTGTGGCATTCTGTGGCTACAGAGCAAAAGGGTTGGCATGAATTGTAATGTCTTTAATGCGAACATCATTAAGAGGTCGATAGGTTTTCTCATTCACAGGCAGCTTCTCCAGCTCATCCAGGGTCTCCAAGCCATCAATAACTCTGTAAGAAAAACACGAGTGCTGGAAATTGCCTTCTAATAATGATTTAACCTTCACAGTTATCCCAAAACACTTTACAGTCAAGTATCACAAGGCAAGGACTTTGCAAGCATATGATTACAAAATAAGACAACCAAAACATGTTACGTTTTGACTTACACACAATATGTTATGTGGCAAATAATGTATTTTGAAAGAAATATTAAGCATCCATGACAGACTCTGAGAAGAAGTTCAAGCATTTGCACGTGCCCTGAAATACTCAGATCCCTCACACACTCTGACAGAGGCATGCAGTTGAGTCACTTACTTTCCAAACACTGTGTACTTCATGTCCAGGTGTGGCTGTTTGCCATAAGTGATGAAGAACTGTGATCCATTGGTGTTGGGACCATTGTTTGCCATGGAAACTACCCCACGGACACTGTGCTGAAAAAGGGAAAAACCTCAGCATGAATGCATATCTGTGAAACCAGAACTAACCTGAGCAAAGTGCTCTATGACTTAGAGCTCTTCCTCAATACCATCATTAAGAACAAATCTTGGTTGCTAATATATTCTATCACAATCAGTAATTAGCTCCTCAGAATGGCTCTTACAGTGAAAAATTGCTTCTTTGCCTTCAGTGCATTAAAAATGCTGTCAGAAATTCTTTATACTTCTGTTTTCTGTGATGAAAATCCTCAAACCTTACTTGCCAAGCACAGAAATGCCTGTTCCTATTTTAATAATAAGCTATTGTTCTCTAACCAAGAGAAAATTATTGTAGAGAAAATTCAAATTAAAACATAAGTGCATATTGAGAACACAGAAATACCTTTAGATATTCACTGAATTCATCTTCAAACTTCTTGCCCCAGATGCTGTTACCTCCTTTCCCAGTGCCTGACAAAGAAGCATCACAGTAGAAGTTACTGGATTTTCAGACTGAAAAATCCAGAAATTATGTTCTGTTACAGCATTTTACAACAAAGATCCTAGACAGCCTGCAATTAGTTTAAGGCAGGCTCTTGGCACTGCAATGAGACATAACTCTATATAAGGAACCTATTAAGTAGCAGAACAAAGCACTGACATATCCTCAAATTAAATTCAGTATGAGTATGAACAGACACAGCTGAATCAGCTTTTCTCCCAAAAGCTGACACTGTCTGGGACATCTTCTCCAAATGTTTTACACTCAGCCTTTCAGGCAGAAACCACACAAAGCACAGTAGCACCTGCTTCTAATTTAGTCAACACAGAACCATCATATTTAGTGGAAACAGCTGGTAAAACTCAAGCTTGTAGAATGCATGATTACTTAAAACTGGGGTAACACCTGCACTTCTGTAAGCCCACCACAAAAAATAATCTCATTGTAAAAGCTCTTATCGATAATACAATAACTCTTATATTTTTTCTTTACTTACATTTTGGTTTTAATACCCATAATTCCTTTTTATTTCCTTACATTTTATTTTTATGTACATTTTTTCCACAGAAAGACCCAGACAGAAGAATTTACCTAATGGATCCCCTGTCTGAACCATGAAGCCCTTTATATTTCGGTGAAATACGCATCCATTGTAGTAGTTACTAGCACAAAGAGCCAGGAAATTCTACAAAAATCAAACAAACCATATTAACAAACAACTTAAAAATAGTATTATCTTACTGAAATGACAGCATTGGCAAGACCAATGCTTTTACCTCTGCTTAGCTTTGTGACCATGCTAATTCCACAGAGTAGTGCCACAGAGTAGTCATAAACAAATCATAGCTAATAAACTCCTTTGACAGTGTCACACACAAAGAATAAAAAGCTTTCAGTGCAAGGCTGTCTGACTTGAAGAACAAACAAGAAGCCTAAGATATGCTCTCAAGTATCATGTCCATTCAACAATTTTATTTGGCACATGTAATTTTGTAATCAATACCTTAATGCCTCAGCTTTTTCATTAAAATAAATGAAATTTATTTCAATTTCAGTTTATTGCAAAAATTCAAAACTGGGTTCCCTGACAAACTGTGAGTGAGTCTCACTCTTTCAAACTAAAATCAAGTCTGTGAGGGTATGAATAAACCCATGGAAATTTGGGAATCCCACACTAGGTGCTGTATTTCCCCTGAAAAGCAAAGGACACTGTGGGAGATGCTGGAACTTCAAAACAAGCACCCCTTAACTAAACCTTATCAAATGAGAAACAGGCATGAAACTCCAGGCAGTATGACAGAGTGCACAAGTTCTAGGAGTGGAACAGACACTGCACCAGCTTAAAATGTTGATATTCCATTACGTGAAAAGGTGAAATTGCAAAAGCCACTTGACCTATTTCTACTGCTTTGTTTCACCACCAGGCAATTCTACTCCAGGTATGTGACTTACTTCACAAGTCTTTGGAGTACGCTCACAGAATAGTTCAATTTTAATATCTCCCACATCAGTATGCAGCGTGACAGCCTGAGCAAAATGCAGAAAACAATAATTAAATCAGCAATAAAATACTAATAGATACTGTTTTATTTCCCAGCCTCATCAAGAACATAAGCAAGTTTGCACTACATATAACCACTGTTTCAACATTTGGCCTTAAGCAAAGCTACTGTCACAACCAATCCACATTTCCAGTAAAATCACCAGAAAGCACTCGGTTTCATTTAGTTTCAGGACAAATCAAGTTTGCCATGGTAATGCAGTAGCTGTTGCATGCTGTTACACTCCAGAAATACATTATTCATTTGCAAACAGGACCTACTCAGTCACTTGAAAGTAAAGGTGAAGAATCAAGATTGAATCTATTTTGGATGGTGCACACACCTACCTCACTGCTTTACACAACTAGAGGAGCAACTGATGCCTGCAGCCTTTTGATTGATAAGGCTAGTTCTGAATTCCAGCATATATAATGCCTTCACAGACAAGTAAATCTACAAATTAACTTACTTTTCTTAAGAATTTATAAGTTACCTTCATAAAATTTAAAACCAGTTACCCAGTGACCTAAGCAAATTTATCTCTACAGGCCATATATATCACAGTGCTTCTATGGAAAGTGCTAAATGATGCAAAAACAATTACTGTGGGGATAACCCTACAGTAAAACTAATCAAAATCAGCATCATGTTGATACTGGCATACTGCTCCAAAAGTATACAAGTAAAGGAGACAGCTGTCCACAATGTTCATGAAGATGCTATAGAAGGTGTATAATTAGCTTAAGACATATATAGTCTTACCTCTATTTCTCGAATTGCTAAACTTTTAAAAGCCTGTGAGTGCAGAGGTTTACATATGCTGAAGCAGAGGTATGTTCTTGCAACTAGACTAATGCTTCTGTGGAAAAAGAAACCAAACTAGATGATCAAATACATGCCAAAGTAGCATTAAAATCTGAGATCTCTAAAGTGAAAGCATAATTAGGTTTTAGACTGATGTAAATCAACATGTTTTCCTGTTCACAGTATCTTTTTATAGGTTTGAAATGAAAACCCTGAACTTTTCATGACAAATTCCTTACAGCATCAGAGTAAAACATGTAACCCTTTGAGATGGAGAGCAGCTATTCGCTTTCCAAAAGATGACCATTTCAGAAACCATATAAAATGTCCTTTTATTCTTACCATGTCTCCCTATCAAAATCTGAGGTAGCCTTCTATACAGCAATTTCCTGTAAACATAACATAAGAAGTTTGGTTTTTTTCCTGCCAACCCACATTTGGTTTTGATTCTAATTATCAAAATCTGAGGTAGCCTTCTACACAGCAATTTCCTGTAAACATAAGAAGTTTGGTTTTTTTCCTGCCAACCCACATTTGGTTTTGATTCTAAAATATCCGTTAGTTACATGCTTTTACACCACACAGTTCTACGTATGGTCCCATGCCAGTGACTGTGGCTAAATTTTGTATTTTAAGCAACTACACAGCATATAAAGAATGAAAAATTACTAGAATAGCACCACTTACAGAACAGGGAAGAGGGAAAAACCCACTCTTTCCTAGGATGAAAATTTATGTTAAGCCATCAGTTTTTGCAAATATTATGGCAGGTGGCAGAACAGTAGATGGCAGAAATTCACAGGCCAGTACCTAACAGAAGTGTGATTTGGGAGCAAGTCATGACAGCTGTGAGTGCCTGCAACAGACAAGTACCTACACCCAATCAGACTTTTTAAATCTTTGTAATACTTTCAAATGAAGTGTTTAGAATGCCGACAATAAAACCCGGCTGTGTAGAAGCCGAAAGATTTACGCGGTAATGGCTCCTCTATACACCCGCCCTCGCCGGGGCAGCCCCGGCCCCGTGTCCCCACCTGCCCGCGGCTCCCCCTCACACACAGCAGCCGGAGCTACCGCTCCCTCCCTGCCCCAGGTACCGCCACCGAAACACCGCGCACAGAACAGGCGGGCTCCTCCACCGCCCGGAGAATGCCTTAACCTGCCGGGGCCGATGGAGACCCAGCCCCGCCGGGGAGAAGCGGCTCCTCTCCCGCGGGCCGCAGCTCGCTCCCG